CTTCTCTTCTTCTTCTTCCCCCTTCTCCTCCTCCTCATCATTCTTCTCCTTCTTTCTCTTCCTCCCCCTTCTCCTCATCCTTCTCCTTCTTCTTCCCCTCCCCTTCCTCCTCTTCTTCTTCTCCTTCTCCTCTTCCTCCTTCTTCTCTTCTCCTCATCCTTCTCCTCCCCCTCGTCGCTTCTCGCCAGTATGTCCAGGTGTTCCCGGTGTGTCCAGGTGTTCCCGGTGTGTCCGGGTGTTCCGTGGGTGTCCAGGTGTTCCGTGGGTGTCCGGGTGTTCCCGGTGTGTCCAGGTGTTCCCGGTGTGTCCGGGTGTTCCGTGGGTGTCCAGGTGTTCCCGGTGTGTCCAGGTGTTCCCGGTGTGTCCAGGTGTTCCCGGTGTGTCCGGGTGTTCCGTGGGTGTCCAGGTGTTCCTGGTGTCCCGTCCCGGCGGGGACACCCCCGGGCACACCAGGAGCAGAGGGATAACGCTTCATTCCCAGCCGGGTCCATTCCGGGATGAGTTCCTGGAGTTCAGGCTCAGCCCCTGGTTTGTGTCCCTGTTTTGGCCAGGGAGGTGCCGATGGTGAGGGACCCAACGTTCCGATGTGATTTATGACCTAAAACTAACAAAAATCAGTCTATGCTCTGCCTTTATATATATATATATATATTTAATATATATATAAACTCTTTCTTAATATATGTATATTCTGCAAAGGGAAGACAAATGTCACGTGAACTCACACTGCAGTTGTTACAGTAGCATGGAAACACTACATTTTAGAAAGGAGAGTTTTTGCACTGGCCAGAATTGTATATTTAATGTAGCGATTTAATTGGATAATAAGTTGCAAATTTCTTGGGCGCATGCAAAAACCTGTTGGAGAAAGGATTCTGGGGAAGACGAGAGGTGGGAGCTTGGACTTGTGAAGTTCTCCGCGGGACAGGCAGCCTAAGGTCCCAGAAGGGTAGTTTGGGATGTTCCCGGGACAGGAGCTGCCTCCTGGTGCTGCACAGCACATGGAAACCAGGTTTTTTTGTAAGGTTAGCAGTGTTTTTTCTCCATGGCACTCAATTGAAATGCAGTTTCTTTGGTCTGTTTTAATTGGCAGCTTGCAAAGCCCCAAAAACTTCATTACTCTCATCCCTTCTCTGGGATCGTGGACAGTTTCTTTCAAGAATTCACACAGAACAACATCTCCAAGGTGCAAGGAACTGTCACTACAACATGTGACCAAAAATTAGAGCATTTTCTTGAACTGTGCTTTGTTTGCAGTGCTGTACAGGTTCAGTAAAGTTGAACGCTGGCTCGTTGCAGGTCTCAGTGCAGCTTTTAGAAGAGACTCGGGTGATTTCACTGGGGTGTGGATTGGGACTGTGTTGCTCTGCAGGTGCTGGTTCAGCTGCCAGGAGCTCAGCTCACTGCCTGGAATTACAGCTGAAAATCATTCATTTGCCCACACCCGCCTATTTTTTTCGCCCCATCTTTCTCTCCCACCTCTTCCATTTGCATGTGGAGGAGGTTTATCTACACGGGAGTTGGAACGACTAAATTGTTTCAGGATTTGAGCATTAACTGTTGGCACGTGCTGGTACTTGCAGAGCAGCTCTCAGGACATTCTCCAGGTTTCTAACACAGCAAGGCTTTCTGTGCTGGCTGCTCCTCAGCTGTTGTGAGCATGCCGATAGCAGATGCTTTGTTTGGATTCTCGGTTCTCACCCCCAGTTGTGCTCAGGACTGGGAGCGGTGTGGGAGGATGTCCTGGAGCCATCTCATGATGCTGGCTTTAAACTCTCACTGACTGGTGTGGCCAGTGAGTCACAGTCCCGAGGAGCCCCTGATTTCTTGTCTGGTTGGTGGTTGCTGCCGCAGAGAGAACAATGACCCTGCAATAAACCCTTTTGCACAACCTTTATTTCTGCTCTTTTCTCGAGTAAAACCCTCAGCAAGGCCCTGCTGCGAAGTGTGACACACTTCAGGAGGGAGCCAAGCATTCGTGAAAAGCTGATGTCTTCATAGCTTGATTGGCAGCAAACCAAAGCTAAAAATAAAGGTCTCCTCCCAGTCTTGCTCACCTGAACTTGAGTGTGCAGAGACACAGCCAATATTCAGTCTCTTTTTTCACCCACGTTGCTCTGTGTGTGTCACAGAACTTTGTCCTCCAAGCAAAAATCACAGAACCACTGTGCTTTCAGTTAAAGAGGAGTGTCTTTGTCTCTCCTGTGAAACTTGGGTGGTGGCTTTTAAAATGATGGATGGGTTTCAAAGTAATCAGTTGATGGACCCTTTTGCTGGTTGGTCGAGGTGGTTCTGTTGGTGTAGGGCTTGTTCTGTCATTATGGTGACATAAGGAGGGGTTGTAAAATCTCTGCTTGTAGGAAGTGTAAAAATAATGGAGTCACTGCAATTGCTGACTAGGCCAAAGCTGAGAAATGTCTAATTTCTTATTCATGCTGATGCAGAAGTGCTTTGGACAGTGCTTATGATGGGGGGGCCAAGACCAGCAAGAGCCTGGTAGAAAGCAGCTGCAGGTGTGTGGTACATGCACAGAGATGCTGCTTGGACAGTTGCTGTAGGAGCCCTGGTAATCTTGTCACATCACTGCCACCAGAGGATTGGCTTTGTCATTTCTGATGTACAAATATGCAGAATGTATTTTATAAATGGGAAAACACAGCATAAGTAGCAGTTACTGAACATCTTGGTGTGGGGGTGTGTGTGAGTGAAGAAGAGTTGTTACTCTGGATTTGATGCTGGACTGTGGGCTCTCTTTCTGCCTCTTGAATGTGAACATTTTCTCCTAAAACTGCTGTATTTCACAGAGGAATGTCATTTGTAACAAACTTTTCTGGGATCCCTATTTGCTCTGTAGACATATGTGGTTTTTTTTTTCTTTTTCAGTGACTGTGAGCAACCCTGTGGAGAAAGGTACGTGTGTTCAATTGACCATCTGGCACTCAATCCTGGTGTGAAAGGGTTCAGAGATGTTGCAGCTGAAATATCAAAAATATTCGCTGTCAATCGTTTAAATGTACGTCCTCTTTCAGCGTTTCCTTCCTATAATTACACTCCAGGGGTGCACAGCAAGTTTGTTAGAGAGGCTGGAACTTTTGGATGCGCTGGAAAGTGCCCTGGATCAAGTCAATTCTCTTTCTGCTACAGAGCAGTCCTAATATTTGAAGTTGCTACAGAGAAAAGGGTATTCATGATTATTCAGCAGAAGAAAGTCAGTAGTTGCCCGATCCATTAGTGCATCTCTGGGTCAGCTTCCTCTAACGTGCTGCTTGATCAACAAAAATAAACCTGTTGCAAGATTTCTCTCCTTTCATTGTAATTAAAAAGTGGCTGAGCTCCACCTGCACGTAGTAGGAGGATAACAAACAAACTGGGAGCATGAGAATGACTTATCTTTGATTCACATCCTTGTGAGGTGTGTCCCACCATTTGCCACCTCATTAGAGTCTCAGCGATGCATCTGGCCTTTTTTACCAGTTTTCACACAGGAAAGGGAGTGTTTTCACACAGCTAGGAAGTGTCTGGATTTTAGACTTCTCTTTCCACCAGTAGCATTTACTTTAATCTTACTTTCTAGGATTTGAAGCTTAAAAGAAATGAGGGAAGGGAGGTTTTTATTGCAATTAAAAGGCGCGTCCGTATTGTAACTGTTTGATAACGTCTTAGTGAGTTGAGTGTTAAATAACAACTAGTTAGTGTAGCTCTTTGGCTCCCTGATCATGGAAAGCCTGCTTATGGCCAAAGGCTCTGGAATAAAGTTGGCATGTTGAAATAGGACTGCTCTGACACGTGCTGGTTTCACATGGTGATGTCGTATCCAGTGCATTACAATTCTCCAGCACTCACAGGACCTGTCTTGCTCACTTGGAGAGAAGTTTTCCTGATTTATTGTACCAACTGTGGCAAATGGGAAAGAGCTTTGATGTTTTCTGGTGACGCAAAGCTGGGATTTGCAGGGATGTGGGGTGGGCACCTACCCTGGGAGGGGGAAGTCTCTCAGGGCTGTATCTTCCTGACCCCTGGAATGGGGTGGGGTGGAGGAGGGGAGGCTTGTGAGCTCAGTCCCCCCCTGGGTGCAGCCCCTGAGCTCTAGAATGCTGCTGGGAGGTTTGGCTGGACTGTAAGAAGGGGGAATTATGCCCTTCCTAAATGAAACTTTTACTTAAGAAGTCATTGCTCTCTTTCTGTTTTGTTTTTTTTTTCGTTTTGTTTTGTTTTTAGTGGCCTATCTTGTAATATTCCATATTCTCTTTGTGCTCTTTGTGTGGACATATTGGAAGTCTGTTTTCACTCTCCCAGTGCAGCCAGACAAAAAGGTAAGAGCCCCAGCAGCTTCCATTCCTTGCAGAGCAAAAGCAGGGACACTAAAGAGAACTCAAAAATCCTTCGGTCAAGTTGATCTGGACGGGACAGTCAGATGCAGACATGTGTTTTAATGCTTTTTTTTCCACCAAATATTTACTTTGTCACGTTGCTTGGATTGGTAGATTTATTTTTTTTTTTTTCATTTTGTTTTACCTCTCTGTGAAATACCAACACAACACTATGTTTGGAGCAACAGAATGAGGATGATATTTTTGTGGCACTCCAAAATATACACGGCCTTAATCTGATCCTGATTACAACAATGTAAATTTATAAATAACAACTAATCCCAGTTTTAGAAATATAAAACTGTGAATGGGGACAGGTTTTTGTTTGTGAGGGAAGTGCTTCAAGTGTTATCAAGGTGAGTAATGTTACTCCTGAAAAATAGTTATCTAAGGCAGCCATAGGAGCAACTCGAGTAAGTTGTTTTCTAAACTATAAATTTCACACTTTCTTATTGGTGTATCCCACGGGGTTCTGGCTGCCCAGCACTCTCAACCTTCTTTGTCTTCTTAACAAACACATTTTCACGCTCCATTGACCTCGTGAGGGGGAGGTGAGAATGTTTCTGTATTTGAAAGGTTCTCTCTGCTGCCCCGGGGTAACCGCTCCTCCCGCGGTTTCTGCCCGCAGTTCCACATGTCCTACGCTGACCAGGAGCGCTACGAGAACGAGGAGAGGCCGGAGGTGCAGAGGCAGATCCTGGCCGAGATCGCCAGGAAGCTGCCGGTGTACACGAGGACCGGGAACGGAGGTGAGCCCAGCGGGGAGCTCGGCGGCTCTCTGGGAGCAAACACGGTCAAGTAGCACACACATCGGCACTCCAGAGGATCCTGCCGACCAACAGCGCTCCCACTGCCACTGCAGCACCCGCTGATTCCTGCGGGAATGATTTTCACACCTTTTCTTTCAGGTTTCCTATTTGGGAAAGCAGGAAAGCCTTGAACATTCCTTCATTCCATGGAGGTGCCTTTGAGGAGCAATATGCTCCCCTTTGGATTTCTGTTCAAAACCCACTTACGTTGCCTGTGTTTAGTATTAGCAGTAGAATCCCAAGATCTGTCATCATATTTAATTAAAATGGAGTCTGCCTTAGAGGTGCAGGGCATAATTCTGTGACCACATTTCTTGGCCATGCCCAGTGACTAAATGCCTCTGGACTCCTTTCACAGCTTAAAGAAGTCTGTGTTCATTTTGGAGGCTCTGACCTGCTCGTTTCTGCCAGGCAAGCCAAAGAACTCTGGAGTAAAGAACTGGAATAAATAGGGAATTACCAAAATGGAATGTGTGTACAGTCTGAGTAAATGGGGAAGCCAGAAGGAAGGGTACAGTTTTGGTGTATCACTTTGGAGCTGGCTGTGGGGTTTAGAGTAGGTGTAGGTTAGAAGTTGGGGAGAAATTCCTGGCTGTGAGGGTGGGCAGGCCCTGGCACAGGTTGCCCAGAGAAGCTGTGGCTGCCCCTGGATCCCTGGAAGTGTCCCAGGCCAGGTTGGACGGGGCTTGGAGCAACCTGGGCTGGTGGAAGGTGTCCCTGCCCATGGCAGGGGGGTGGAATGAAATGATCTTTCAGGTCCCTTTCAAGTTAAACCATTCTGTGATTCTGTGATTTCAGTGAGGATTGCTCCCCCCATCTGCAGGTCTCCTGCAGAATTAGGAGCGTTGCTAATCCAATTGGGGCCTGGCAGCAAAAACCAGCAGCAAATGTACTCATCTGCTGAAGTGACAGAGGAAAGAGTATGAACAGTTAGGAAATGAGCACAAATATCCACTATCATGTGAAGTAAAAAAGAAGACTCTTCCATCATTTGGTGTCAATTTGTCTTTAACCTCAGGTATTCGGTTCTGTGACAGATGCCAGCTGATCAAACCCGATCGTTGTCACCACTGCTCCGTCTGTGCCATGTAAGTCAGGGCTGTGTCTCTGAGGTGAACACAATCAATCACCACGGGGTTCTGGGAACAGGCTGGGCCTTCCCATGGCTCTTTGCACATCGGGGTACTCAGGGGGCTCTATTCCATCTGCAGCCACCAGTGCTCCGGTGAGAAACCATCATCACGTCCTTCTCTAGACGAGAACAAAGGACATGGGTTGGCCTTGAAAAAGTAGTAAAAGTTTCATCTTAAAACAATACTACCTTAAAAAACTGAGCATCATTTTGACTTTCTGTCACATAGAAATCTCCCAAAAACCAGAGGTTTTGCTGTTGATCTGGCAATTAAGTACCAATTAAAAATCTTCCCCTTTTTTGTGTGTCCTTTTGCAGGTGTGTGCTAAAAATGGATCATCATTGTCCGTGGTATGTCCTACGTACTGGTTTGTGGCTTTCTGAGAAGAAAGGTTGCTTATATTTATATATATTTCTGCCACATATTTCTGTATGCCTCTCTCATTTTACACCATCCATCTCTTTATGTTGGGAAATTTATAAGATAATTACACTTTGAAATTGCCTGAAATGTTTGATATTTTGAAAGGCGGATTATTCATATTTGCTCCATAAACTATATGTGAAAAAGCTGTGATATTGATATCATTTAAACCCCAAATGCTAATTTACCCTTTGACTGTTCTTCAGATTTGAAAGGGACTTAACCTTCATTTTGGGGTCTGTCATCATTTCAGCTGCACTTGGGAGTGCTTTCAATAGTAACATTTGCATGGGGATTGTTTCTGAACTGATGCCTGGTCAGAGACCATCAGTGCAGAAAGCTGCATGGATGAGTTGAGCTTTGCACTTCTTGAGAATTGCTGCCACTAAATTTATTACACTCCTCCTTTTTTTAAAAAAAAAAAAGGAAGATTTCAGAAATCAGAAACAACACAAACATTTCCCCACCTGAACCTCCCTGGGAATCAAAATTGGAGAGGATTTTGCAAACCTGAGCTCTGAGACAAACACCCCCTCTGTTTTCCTGCATCCCCTGGATCCTTTTTAGAGTTGTCCTGTGCATGGAGAATCAGCCCCAACTTTGGGTGAGCTGGGTTGGATGTTCCTGTGACTCCTGAGGTTTGCACGTGGCCCAAGGAGCACAGAACTCCCAGATGCCACTGCCTGGGCAGACAAGACCCAGACAGGAGGGATGAGCTGCTGCCTCTGGGACACTTCCCCGGGGTACCAACCCTGAAACACCAACTGTGCTTGTCCCTGGCCCAGCAAGAAGCCTTGGGGTGAAAAGCAGAGCCTTGAGTTCTGTTCCATTTTGGCCACCAAGGGGAGCTGCTTATTGACAAGTCGTGTTGTGGGAGCCAGAGGTTTAATAGCCCCCCAAAACTGGTGGTGCTCTTTGTGTTACAACCAATGTGCTGCACAAATCCTGATTTCAACTTTGCTTTTGTCCTCTAGGGTGAATAACTGCATTGGATTTTCTAACTACAAATTCTTTCTACTGTTCTTAGCCTATTCTTTGTTGTATTGCTTGTATATTGCTGCAACAGTCTTCAAGTATTTCATTAAGTATTGGACAGTAAGTTGTGAAATCTGGTTCCTTTTTCATCTCCTGTGAGTCTCGTGGGGTTTAGTCACTCTTGTTGCTTTTTTGCTCTCAGTCGAGTGGAGGGGCTGCATTTCTCCTGTGAGGTGCTTTCCTGGGCCCTTTTTGAGTCCAAAACTCCCATTATATCTCCAAAATGCACAAAAGCAAGAAGCAAGTAGGAATTCCAAACTGTGGACCAGCTTCTGGGAAAGAGGTTATATCCTTTCCCTTTGTATTTGCATGTGTGTCTGTCAGAACATTTGGAGCTGATACTGATATGTAACATCCTGACATTGATCTGGACATATTTACTGAAAAGAGGAAAAAAAAGTCAAAACTTCTTGCTCATTTTCTAATCCCCATAGGACTCCTTTCTCAGTTTAAAACTGGACTGAACTGAAGTAGCCTTTTTATTCAGTTGTTGATGGTCACTCCTATGCAGCAGTGCCACTGACAGCTCCAGTAAGAGGCTGGCCCTTGGCCTCTCTGTCCCTGTGTTCAAGTGCCTTTGCTGGGCATTAATTGTTCCTCAGGCTCAGCACGGCCCAGCTGTGAGCTCTGTGCTGCTTCCACGGGATGAGCAGAGGCTGGGAAGTGCCTTTATTCCCTGGAGGTGCCCAGAGCCTGCCTGTGTGTGCTGCTGGACACCTCTGCTGTAGAGGAAAATGGGTGTCTCCACCTCTTGGAAGGTCCCACTTGGCTTTCAATCTTCCCCAGGCCCTCCCTGCTCAGTTCTACCACCCCCAACAGCTGCAGCAGTGCAGGCCAGGCTCTCTGGGCTTGCCTCACCTTGCAGGAGGTGCAGAATTGTGATGTATGCACGGGAAACTCAGCAGAACATAAACAGGGGCTTGGAGAGCTCCTGCCTGCTCGTTCCCCCGAGGGCACAGGGGGTGCTCCTGGTGCCCAGGTGGGAAGGGTGATGGCACTGCCTGTGCTGCACACCAAGAGCTGTGCTTTGGGTACAGGAGGGGAAATGAACCACATCATTTCTTTGTCTCTCCTCGTTTTTTTTATGCTAAGGTTGACTTTTGCCTGTACAAGTTCGAGAACTCCCAATAGGAGTTTTAGAACTTTCTAAGAACAAAGAACTCCCAGCTTGAATTTGTTCCTGTCACTTGTTCTGTGTTGCTTTTCTTGCCAGGGTGAACTGACCAATGGCCGGTCCAAATTTCACATCCTCTTCCTCCTCTTCGTGGCAATCATGTTCTTTGTGAGCCTCATGTTTCTGTTTGGATACCACTGCTGGCTCGTCAGCAGAAACAGATCCACCTTAGGTAAAGCTCTGGTGTCTCTCTTCTTTTAGTAAGACACACCAAAGATGCTGTGAAAACTAAAAAAGAAAGTGAAAAGAAAAAAAAAAAAAAAGTCATTTGTTCTATTTCTGTGCTGCCTTATGAGGGAAGGAAGGTTGAAGATCTTGGCACAGCTCTGCAAAAATCTGGCTTTGAAATTAGCTGCATTTATTAGGTGGTGTGACAAAAGCCCAAAGGGAAACAAAGAGTCTTACAGTGTAAAAGTCCATTTATAAAAATATTATGCATGTGTATAACTCTGTTTGAAATGAGTGCAGCTTTTCAGGAATAACAGCTTGGTATGTTCAGGTGCTGGTGTGCATCCTAAACCAGCTTAGTGAGGGTGGGAAACAGTGGCCACCCTCATTGATAAAGGCAAAGAAGTTATGACTGTAAAACCAAAGAAATTATCTAAACCAGAATGATTTTGCCAAGTAGTTTCTTTGTCTTTCCTCAGATAAATGTGGTTCCGTTTTTAAAGCTTTTTATATAAGAGTTTTATAACAAACCAGCCACTCTCAAGAGTGAGCAAATATTCTGTTTTTTGTTTAGTTATTAACTTTAAAGCTCATTTCATGGGGCACAGAAGCTCATCTGTCCCAGTGCATCAGAAGGTACATTAAATTGTTTCTAAGGCACTCCAGGTTCTCCTCCCCTCTCTTTTCTTAATGTCTCACCATAACAGAGGGTCTATTTGCATTTGTTTGTTCATTATATCATTAGCGAATGAGGCAATTTAAATCTCACTCCAGGAATACTCATTGAAGGCCAACCTACTTAATTCTGCAGATTTTTTTTTACTTAGAAATTTTCACCCACTGAATTTCTACAAGTCTCACAGAAAGAACTTTTAACTCTCGTTCTCTAGATTAAACAAACCATTTTTGGTTTGATTTGACTGTTCTGGAGTTGCACGACCAAATTCCTGCCTTTGGTTGGAAAGTCTTTACAGGCTTTGCAAAATGAGAAAAAAGCTTTCAGTTATTCCTGAACCTGTATAATCCATTAAATCATGCCGACTTTAGATGGCCCCATCATGCACAATCCTGTTTCAGAGAGTTTGGCTTTGATTTTCATTTTCTTTTTCACTGAAATTTTCACACATCTTTGTGCAGAGGCTTTCTCGGCTCCGGTGTTTCAAAACGGCCCAGATAAAAATGGATTCAATCTTGGCTTTGTAAAGAATCTTCAGCAAGTGTTTGGGGAAGAAAAAAAGCTCTGGTTGCTGCCTATTGCCTCAAGGTAAGTAATAATCAAGCCAGTGCTAAAAGCTGATACAATTTTGTGTATAGGTTTAGGTCACAGGAAAGTGGGGGTTTTATATGTGTCTTTCAGTAACATCTGACTAAGATTGAGGCCATTTTCTCTTGGGTGTCATTCAGACACAGATGTGTGACTTGTGCCCTGAAGAATCTGTGGTATCAATTGATAAAATTGACTCCTATGGAATAATTGCTCCTTTTTCGTAATCGTCTTCCTTAGTTCCCCCCTCACTTCTACCTGTCCTCAAGTTCATTGTTTGTTTGGGGTTTTTTTCCTGTATCCAAATGACTTGATCAAGTTAGCACGTTGAAGTTCTGCTAAAAATTACTTAATTCCAGGCTTTAAATTTGAACTTGTATGACCCAGTGAGCTTGAAGGACCAAACTGCTCTCTGGTCAAACTTGGCATCTGAGCTGCCATCAAAAATCCACACCGTGCTTTTCAAAGCTGGAAGATGATTTTAAGTAAACATGGGAAATAGAGGCAGCAGAAAACTTTGTTTGCAGATAAAATGTGTTCAAACTGCCATCCTTTGGAGCCCCTTGCTGTTTCCCAGTGTCTCTCTGCCTTTTCCATGCAGCCAGGGGGATGGACATTTTTTCCCCATGAGAGCCTCGTGCGAAGCTCGGAACCCTCTCCTGGCAAATGAGGAGCAGTGGGAGGAGGATGGAATAGATGAAGAGCCCCAGGGTAAGGCAACACTACAGGAAATGAGCTGTGTCCTGACCTACAGTGCCTAACAGATAAATTCTAAGACCTGATCAAGTACAAATGGTGTTGGCTGAGTTCGTGGGCAGCTCTGACTTGACTAACGAGCACAGACTGAAAACAAGCCCTACTTTGGAGTCACCTTTTTTAGTTTTTTTTAGTAGCTTTCTACTTGCAAGTGAATGAACTGAGAGGCTGGTACAAACTGCAGAGAGAAACTGAGATTGCCACAAACCGAGTGTCTTTACCTGTAAATGTTGTTGCATGCAGTGCAATTGCCTGGGACACAAAAAAAAGGAGAGTGCTGAGATTTTTTAAAAGTGCAGTCTGAGAGTGTGTGAAAGCAGGCATGCAAACAGCTGAGTGCAGGGATATGTTTGAGAAGCTCCTTTATGCTTTGCCCAGCTTTATTACAAGAGCAAAGCAGTTCATTTGGTGCTGGATGTGATGTGCTGATCTCCACAGAAGAACTAGATGTGCTGGGAGCAGTTTGGATGTGCTGGATTTCTGGCATTCAAAGATACCTTTTATGCCGTAGAAATCCTATTAGAAACCAGAATTTATATGTATATACATTCTTCGATGGGTTTTGTTAATGGATCCAAAATCAGTTTAATGATTTTACATTTTCTGTGTTTGAAGTTGACTTTTTCTCCCCCTTGGATCTTTACCTGCAAGCTTTGGTCTTGTTGGAATCTCAGGATTCCTGTCAGAGGCCCCAAACCCCTTATCTGAGGGTTCAGAAATCCTGTCAGCAAGGGCTCCTGGTTTTTCCTGTGGAGCAAGGATGCCATTCACAGGTTCCTTTTGAAACAAAGGTGGTAATCCCCCCTTTTTTTTTCCCTTTAAGGAATGGTGATAGCGTGAATTAATTCTGAGGTTACTCATAATTACCAGATCAAATCAGAGAGGTGATTTCCATCCATGCTCTTTGTTGCCTCAGAAGAGTTTTCAGGAACTTTGCTGCTGAAGTTCCCTTCCAGGGGGTGTGTTTTAGTCACCCACGTGCAGGATTTCTGTTTGAGGCCCTGTGAGGAGGCTTCAGCCTCGGGCAAAGGGTGAAAAAAACTCCTCGTGTGAACGTTTTCCTCCACGAGTTGTGCCATGAGCTCTTTAATCCTCCTAGCACAGGCCCTGCTGCTCAGGCTCTGCTCAGATCTTACCTCTCTGTTCAGGTTTTCCATTGCAAAATCAACTGACTTCATGTCCTGCTGGGAAAATCCACTCTCTGGGAGTTTGTCAAAAGGACCGAAAGGGCTCATTTCAGCTTTTGTTCAGATGAACTGCTTTAATTGGTTCATATCTGTGTGTCAGGAAACCACCTGCTCTTCCTGGTTTGCTCTATACATGTTGGCAGTTACAAGATAACACAAATTGGTTTCAAAAATAACAGAATTGGCTTTAATAGTAACAAACTATGGCATCTCTGTGACTTTTTTGTGATGCTTAAAACAAGTCCGTTAGGAATGAGTCAGAACTTCTTCCAACTTTTACAAAGTATAACTTATTTGAATAAATAATTAATTCCCACACATGAAAACATTTGACAGTGAGATGATTTCTGGCTAGATCAGACCCCAGAATATGATCTGGAGCTTGTATGAAGTCCCTCAATTTGTAGTGCTTATAAAATAACTGACATCTCCAGGCAGTTTGAATTAGATGATCATTATGGGTCCCTTCCAGCTGAAATATTCATATCCCCTCTTAAACAATAGAAGTAAACCATTGTAATTGAGTAGTCAGAAAGACCTGAAATGTCACATTAAAACTGAAAGATCTTCATTTGTCCTTGTGGCTTTAAAGCTTGTGACATGGTTATGAAATAAATAAAGCCAATAATAGAGCAATCCGGGTTTGAAAGCAGCTGTTCAGTCATCTCTGACAAGTGGCTGTGTGTTTCCATTTGGAATGGCTCTTAAACACACACTCCCATACTTAGTGACAAATATATATTCCCAGTGAGAAAACCAGATTTCCTCACCTGTGACTGCTTTGGTTTTCACTGTGCAGGTTCTGGTGAGGCCTCAGCCCTTGTCATAGAAAGGGAGACATAGCAGAGTGGAGATGCAGCTGGATAAAGCTTGAGCACAAAGGTCAGTGCTCCTTCATTTCCCTCAAATCCACACCCTGCAGGGAATGGGGAGGGGCTGTTGGACAGTCACGGGACACTGTGGGTGCAGCTGTGATTTCACCACCATTCTCCAGCTGGCCCAGAAGTACCTTGTTCAGGGGAACCTGAAGGGCAGTGGTGGCTCTCAGCAGCCCTGGGCTGGGGGCTGGCACGGGGGACACCAGAGCCATCAGCACGGTGTCTAGAGGACGACACAAAGCCTGCAGCTCCTCTGCAAAATGTGGCAGGAACGGCTCTTGCTCTGACTTGTACAATTCCAAGGTGGGAGGTGTGTGCAGGGATTCATGGAAGGAGCAGGAAGGTGCAGGTGCAGCCTAAACCGAAGTTGAGAGCAGCCAAGTTGCAGTTGGGAGAAAATGGAAGTGACTTGGAATGTCACATCAGCTGCTACTCCCTGATCTATTTTTTCCCACCCTGGAGAAACGTGGGTACAACAGCAGATGACACTGTGGGGAAGATGCTGCTCCCAAAACATTCCCTGCTCTGTAAATCTGTTCTGCCTTGGAGAACGGGGCACACGCTCAGGGAGCTGCAGGCTCTGTCCTCTGCAGGCTCCAGAGGAATGTGATCCAAGGAGCAGGAATCTGCTGTCCCACTTGCAGAAGGTGGAGCAGGCAGATGGAATTTCCCCCTCTGTTTTCCATGGTGTTAATAACTATTGTACAGCAAAGCACTGCCTGGCTGTGCTCACAGACAGGGCGCCTCCAGACTTTCACCCGTGGGCTTCTGGTTGTGGATACCAGCCCATTTTCTGCCACTAAAAAAAACCCCAAAGCGTTTTTTCTGTCAGTAGTGAGGACTGTTTCTACCCTTCAACTGGGGAGGGAAAACGAGCATTTTCCTTGTTGTTCTTCAAGGCTTTCAAACACTCAAAAGTCCAGATCAGCCATTGATGCTCATCACAGGAGTGTTACAGCTGCACATTTTTATTTCCTTAAATTTCAGCTTCCCTCTCAGGAGCCAACACCTTCTCTTGACATGGACTTCGGATTTGAGGGGCAGAAAACAAGTGGATCTTCAAGATGAGAAAACATCCTGAAGCATCATCTGACTGGAGTCTGCATCTGAGAGCGCTTCTCCAGAACTCCTGCTGTCCAGATGGCCCAAGGCTTTATCAGTTTAAGTTACAGAGTTAACAGAACAGTCTTACAGAGTGATTGTGGCCAATCTTCTTTGGCCCGCTCTCTTTATTTTATAAAGACTATCTATTTTTTATGGAAAAAAAAAAAAAAAAAAAAAAAGGTAAAAATGTTGATGAGAGTGCACTTCCAAAGGCCTTTTCATTCTGCAAACATCAGGGACTCGGGGTCTTGAAATTCTACCAAGCCATAATATTCTTGGGGATGGTTATTTATTTTATTTTGAGACTGATTCTCCAACCTTCTCTGACAAGTGGCATTTTCTACTGTGTCTGAAGTTCTGAGTCAGTTCAGCCCAGCGTGAGATGGACCCAGTTAAACCTGGCACTAAATTGGTAGTTGGGTGTAAGTGTTGAAAGAAAAAGTGCTGAACGTGCACACAGACATGTGCAGCTGTGAATGCAAATAAAATATTCCCATTGCCAGTATCAAGATTCAAGAATATCGTGGCCATAGATTTTTTTTAAAAAACTTTTTTTAGGAGGGTGTTATTGTTTTAAGAGTTTGGTTGTAGTGCTCTTTGCCCAGTCCAACTTGCAGGCACCTAAAATGCAAACAAGAACTTCAGACAGTCAGTCCCATTTGCATTAATTCCTGGGGCCAAAATGTCCACTCGTTCCTGGGTCGGTGTTTGAGGGGAATTTGTGTGTTTGTGGAGTCAGAAAGGAATGACACTGAAAGTTTAGCTCCACTGAAAGTTTACACTCCACACAAAATGCTGAAGAGACAATGGATATATAGAGTTTTTCAGACTTCTTCCCAAGCCGGTGCACGGACTGGTGGTTCTATGGGTTCTAGGAGGTGATTGGATTTTTTTTCCATTTGCAGGCAAAGGGATGTGTCCTGGTTCTGTTCTGGGGAAGGGAACTGACACTTTGGCCGGATTATACGCATTTTTCTAGACTTGAGTCTTTTTTTATCTGCATGATTCAGCCCTGGCAGCTCCATCACTCGCGTCTGAATGAGGTGCATGCTTACAGTATTATTGCGCTGCCTTTAAGATCGTTTGGTACCATTTTCTCTCCCGTTTTTGTGTTTGTTTATCAGCCCATTTGTGTTGACAGTGACTGCAGAGCAGTTGTGCCTGTCAGGAGAAATGACCTGAGGAGTGAGTTTGGTGACAAAGGCTTTGATTAACTGCTAAATCCTTTCTTCCTCTGTTTGTTCGGCTGCTGCTGCCAGTGGGAATGTTTGTGAGCTGGGAGAGGCTTTCTGCCCTCAGGAGCAGCCGTTCCCGCGGTGTCATCCCACCCTGGGGACAGGGATCATCGGCTCTGCAGCTCCGTGCGGAGCAGGCAGGGATCCCTGGAGTGTCTTGCTGCTGAATGGGGTTGTGAGGGGTTTCAGGGGTGCTTTGTCTGTGTCCTCAGAGTGGGGCTGAATTCACACTCAGAGTGTTCCCGCTTCAGCCGCCGCAGCCCCGCCCGTGGGGTGGGTCTGGCACAAAACGGCTCTCGAGTGTTTCTCCGGTCCATCTAAACCTGCATTTCTAATGTAAATCTCGAGTTGGACCTTCCCCTGTGTGTGATGAAAGATGGCAGCAGAATTAATCACCTCATTTCTGGTAAAACGTCCTCTGGAGGGGGAGGTTGAGAGGACGGTGGCAGCTAAACACAACAGGGAGTGTGCAGGAATTTTGCACCAACAGAGGTGCTACTTGTGCCTTTAAAAACTCGAAATTCCTTGTGTAGAAAACCAGGAAGAAGATCTGGGGACTTTCTGTTCCATTCTGCCAGCTGAAGTGTGTTTTTCAGAGCTGTGTGGATTTACAGGAGTTTTCTGAGCAGGTTCCTGTGTCCTTCCTGGCTTTGGTTCTGGTTACAGCTGTGTCATTCTTTGAGCTGTTTCTCTGCCAGGCAGCAGCCACAGAGCTGCCCACAAGATCTGCAGGCACCATCCCTGCCTGCTCACTTGGTAGTACAAAAAATCAGGTTTTGTCTTCTAATAATTATTAAACCAGATGTCTTGGAAAGGCAGCTACCCAGCTCAGATTTAAAAGCAATTTTTAACGTTTCCAAGTAACTTTTGTTCAGTTGCTTTTCTTGTAAATAGTTATGGCCAGTTCTTCCCTTTCCATAAAAGCAGCTCAGCCCCACCCCGTGGTTGTAAAAATCTCTTGCCCAGGTAGAAAAAACACAGAGTTTAATCACTTCAGAACCACTCCCCGTCAAACTCCACATGTCAGGTGTTGGAGAGCTTCAGGAAATGTGAAACAAAACAGGTGTTTAAAATGAGGCAGGACAAAATAAGGGAAAGCCACGTCTGAGTGACCGAACAAGCTCCATTGTTGTTCCCCTGGGACTGGCACCTCGGGGTGTCACTGTCGGCCTCTGGTCAGGTGCTGTAAATCCAGGGGCACCAGAGGATTTGGGGAAGTGGCAGGGTTTGAATCTCAGTTCTGCTGCTGCTGTGAGTTGTGGCACTGTGGTGCTGAGTGCTGAACTGCAGCAGTGTGGGGGCAGGAAGGCAACTGTGACCCCAGACAGTTCTCTCTGCCTTAGTGTCAGTCCTGGTTTCATGTTCCAAACTAACTGACCGCTAACAACCACCTCCTCCCCTCTCCCCCTTCTCTCCCATTTACATTCAGGTACACTGTGCTCTTAAAAAACACCAGGGAGAACATCAGACTGATGTTTCTCTGGGTAGAACTGTGGGCAGTCGAGTCCTTGGCCAGGACTTGTCCCCGCCCCACTGCTCCTGAGCTGGATTTTTGGAGCAGGATAACTTTGTTTCCCTTCAAGCAGGGAGCAGTTGTGCGTGTTTTCAGCAGGCTGTACCCAGCGTGTGTGGTGCACAGCCACCGGCAAGAGCCAGGAAGCTTCCTAAAGGCACTATGCAATGACTCTTTGCTTCCTGGGAGAAATGGGAGTGCACTCGGCAGAATCCACACCAGCTGGAGCTCTGAAAGCACAACTTGATGCATAAAGTCTGTAATATAATGTGAACATAAAATAACAAATAATTTTCCCTTTATCCCCTGAATTTAGCTGTGAAGAAGGACAGGCTGAGCTGTTCTCAGGGCCCCAATGCCTCCCCTGCAGAGCAGAGTCACTCTGCAGAGCAGTTCCCCCTTGCAGAGCCAGCTCACTCACCCAGGGGTTTAATCAGCAGGTGAAGGAGGCACTGCTGACCTTGTTTATTAAGCCAGAATTAATTAACTGAGATTCCTCACGTTTTCATTTCAGTGACTCCCGTGGTACAGATTTTTTTGAAGCTGATCCACAGCACTTGAAAATACCTCAATTTTATCGATCCTTTTCCAGTTCTCTCAGCTTCTGCTTGCTTACAGAAGGCTTGCAAAGATCAGCTCGTTCTGAAGGGATCAATGACAGCATTTGCATGGCAGAGTGGCTGCTTTCATCGGCAGCAATGGGCTGTCAAACAGCTTGGCAGGGCAGCTCTCCCTGCTCATCAGCGCTGAGCTGCTCCCACCGCTGCAGGCTCCTGCTCTTGTCCTTATTCCATCTTCTCCCTTCCTCCTGCACATGTAGTTAAGGTATTTTCAGCTTTGAGCTGCTTGTGCTGGTTTTTGGATACTGTGAAGGTGAGTAGGTGTCATTTAATGCAGTTGTGCTTGTATTTTATTTGTAGGTATTTGTTTGTCAGGTATCAGTTTGTGATTCTCCTCATCAGGCCCAGCTGGAATTGCTTAGAGCAGCAAGATCCCACTTCCTGCACTTTCTCTCTCCTAAGAAACTCATCTCTCCATTCTTTCACTTCAGTTTGGGATGTAAACCTTGTGAAATAAAATCTGAGTTTACATTTCAAATACAAGTCTGTAAGTTGGTCATGCCTGCATGCTCCTTAAAATGTTATTTTTTTTCCTGTGTAAGGTTTTAAGATTTACAGCAGCATTTGTAAAGCTTGAGTGGGTGACTTACAATGTTAAAAAAGTGTATGTTGAGGGGGGGAAAGAGCAGCCAAAAAAAACCAACAAAAAGGACAAAGGGATCACCTTTGTTTCTTATTTCAGCTGTGTTTGAAAAGAAATGCCTGCCTGCATCAACCAGCTCATGGAACAGGCAGGGATTTCACCTGAAGGCATCCCCGCTATTTCAGTAATTCCTCAAGTACTTAATTTCTTGAGTTCAACATTGGAGTAAATCCTGTAGAACAAAAAATGGTCTTGCCCATCTCCTTCCTGACCTGGAGAAGGTGTGTGCTGCCCCTTCCCACATCAGCACTGCACTTTGGAAGAGAAAGCAAAATCCAGGGTTTTTTTGACAAGGTTCAGTGTATTTTTTTTTTTCCCTGCCCTTTTCTGGAGATTCCAGGAGCCTCCTGGATGTGTCTGAGAGAGAAATCCCTGGGCAGCTGGGAGATCCCAAAGGAGGAGTCTTGGGACTCAGAACTTGTGTGAGGAGGTGGAACCTGCTGTTTTGCTGTTCTGAACCAACTCCACGTGTGGTCGTTCTTCCTCAGAATTAATTACACTGTGGAGCAGCTTCCTGCTCTACTCACTGCCCATCTAAGCAGGAGCTACTCCAGAGTGAATCCAAATCCATTGGTGGAGCAGGGAATTTGTAACAGCTTCCCTTTTGCTTAGGAACATAGGAAATGGAATAGGCCTTGTTATTTTATGAATTATAATCTGATCAGATGGCTGCTCTTCATCTGAAAATGATGTTTATTGTGCAAATAGGTCCCTCAAAGGTGAAACAGTTTAAATCTCAGGATCAGACAATGGCAGCCCTGTCTGTATGTGCTGTTCAATGTTAGCAGGAGTTTCTGTTTGGTCTCCCAGGAAGGCCAGTGGGTTTCACTTGCTGGAGATTTCCAGGCAGGAAGATGGAGCTGAACAGCCACTGCAGGAGCTGCTCTGGGTTGGGGGGCTCTGGGGAGCCAACTGATATCAAAATCTGCACCAGGATCAGGGTTCCCTCCACTGGAACCCCCTGTGAGGGCTGAGCAGGCTCTGTGCCAGCAAAATCGGGGGAAACAGCAGAATTCCAGTGGATTGGTGTATTTACATCCAGCTGCTTTTCAGGAAGCAGCGTGGGCTGGTGATGTTCCTCAGCCCAGCTCTGCTCTGGGCTGCTCAGCCAGCTGCTTTCACACAAATTCCTCACCTCTTCCTTTCATAGGGAATAACTGTTTTCCAGTGAATGTCACAAAGGGACTGCTGCCCCCCTTTGGGGTGCTGAGTTGGGGGCAGGAGTTTAGTGCTGCTGCTGACACTTTTGATATCAAATGGGTTTTTACAAAGCCTTGGGATACTCGTTTTTACTGTTGGACAAACATTCTGACCTTGCTGATGCCCTGTGGAGTTTCACTGGCATTTTCCAAGTGTTTGTACAGTTTCTACAGCTGAATATCCTGTATGTTGTGCTTTGTTGTTTTCTATTATGCTTTATATACTGTACTGCAGGCAAGGACTGCATTAAAACCGTTTTTGGCTAATTTATTCTACTTGTGAATGGTTATTTCCCATACTCAGGTGAAATGTTCCCTCTCTGGAAGCCTCACACAATTTTAATTGTAATTACCACTTGGAGCAGGGAAGGTTCTTTAATTGTGACAAAAAAGGATTCTCTAAATGCTGGGACTGGTGGGGGCAGGCCAGGCCTTGGCACTCTGCTCACCTGCCCAGAGGGATGAAGGACACTCGGAACAAACTTCCCTAATCCTGCATTTGTGAGGACATGGAGATGCCTTAAAACAGTAATGTATTTACAGATACATTTCCCCAAAGTTACAGTAAGGCAAGGCCAGTGCCAGCTCAAGTGCTGGACATCAGGAACTTGGTGCCAGGGGATTTAAAGCCAAAGACAGAAGGAATTTGGCCCTGACTGATGTTTAATGTGACCCTTACAATGAGTGCATGGAGGGCTTGGAAAGGCTGCTGAGCTCTGAGGGTGATGTTTGTCTTCTGGCTTTAAATCCTGTTGGTCTGTGAACAGAACTGGAAATGGAGTTCCAGCTCACTGCTGCAGTTTTCCTCATTTAAAAGGGTTGGTGAGACCAATCCAGCCACAAATTTTGACTCCTAAAATTCCCAGGTACTGTATGTGTGTAATTTCCACAGGCACTGCTGCTTCCACCCCTGATTCCCAGTTTTCCAAGGCATGTCTACTGCACTAGGAAGCTTCTTTATTCAGGACCACTCAGCAAGACAACTGAGGCTGTTTTACTGTTTGAAAATAATGTATACACGGCAAAACTCCAAGAGCTGTACCCCTGCTTCTCAGCCACCAGCCAAAGACCAGAAATTCTGCCCAAAATTTCCTGTGGCTGCTCAGAAGGACACTGAGGTCCCAGTGCACCCCTGGGTTTGGAGGCAGGGGCTGTACTGGCTGAGCTGGAGTGAGGGACAGTGACCCCAGAAATGAAGGAGGCTCTGCTGGGATTCAGAGGGTTTATTTGCTCTGCAGGCAGCCACGGACAGGAGAGAGAAGAATAAATAAGTTAAAGCAGAGTGTGGCAGTTTAACAACCCCAACATGGAGATGCTTGGCCATGTAACCAGAGTGCTTTGTACCTGACCCCTGTTCAGGCCAGAACTCACCTAAGTCAAGTATTTCCCCCTTTGGCCAGAAAGGTTCCCAAACGTGCCCTTGACAACCCAACAAGAATAAAATGTAGAAAAAAACCTCTTGTAATGTCATAGAGTCACATCCAGTTGTTCTGAGATTGTCAGTCTGTTCCAAAATACTTCTGTCCAAAGTGTGTTGGTGCAACAGGATGCACTTCTGTAGTTAAAATGGTGATTTCTGGGAATTCCTGGATGATGGATTTGGCACCTTTGAAGAGAAAGCAAAGGCAATAATGACTACAAGGCTTTAGCACATGCCAAATTAGGATCTGAAGGTGAGTCAAGCTCTGTGCTCCTGTCTCCACTTCCTGTTCCTGCCTTAGCTAATGTCTGTGAGGAAAACTCCCTGACTGCTTTTCTGAGGGTTTCTTCTTTGGATTTTCCTTTACGGTACATGTGCACTCCCCACCTAATCACCAAGGTGCAGGCTGCCAGGAGTAACTCCCTGCAGTCCAGGGAAGTGTTTTGGTAGTGATTTTTGTGTTTCCCAGAGGCAGATGTCCCTGGTTGATATATCCCTTTTTCCCAGGTAAGATCTCTACCCTGCAGACAGGACTGATCTGTAGCTCTGTTCACCTCCCACTCCTGACAGCACTGGTGTCCTTTCGGTGCTGGACCTTCCCATCCCATTCCATGGGCTACTGCCATTGCTCTGGGAGCCAGGGAAGCACGCTGTGGACCTGGCAGTGCTGCAAAATCCTGCTTTTAGGAATCCTTTTCTCATTGGGTGTGCCAGGCTGTTCCCTTCTGCTGCCCCACTCACTGCCCACCCCACTGTTGTACAATTCAGCCATAAAACCCCCAACCCCCCTTGTTCTGGGCACGGTGACGGTGCTGGGGCTGTGACAGAGGCTCAGCTCTGCCCCCTGTGTCACACGTGGGACTGATGTCACCTCCCCAGGACACTCCTGTGCCCCCCACAGCCCTGACTCACCGTGGGGCGTGGAAAACAGGCTGAGCAGGATGATGACACTGGGCTGGACCCCGTGTTCCACCAGCACCTTGACAGCCTCGATGACAGTGTTACCAGTGCCTGGAGGGGGCAGAGGGACACACCTCCTGAGTTAACCAGAAAATGTTGGACTCCTGATGAAGGAAGTTAGACTGGAAGAGTTACCTCATCCTGACAAACTCCTTACCAGAGTAGGGGTTTTTTTGTTAGCATTAACTGGATTTAATTTTAAAGTAATTTACTTCTCAGATTATAATATTAATCCAAATATGTTTTTTAATAATGTAAGAAAAATACTGTTTGAATCTTTTCTCACGGCAAAATTTAAAAAAAATCCATTTATATCAAGTAAGTCTTAATCTTCAGCCTTTCTCCCAAACACTGCCATGGCCAAAGGATTTGCTTTGCATTCCCACTGGTGCAGCCTGAGAATTCCCTGCTCTGTCACCCAAACCAAGCAGAAAACCTCCCCCAAGCCCCTGAAATTTGGAGGGTTTCCTGTCATTCAGGCCCTGCCCGCTCAGAGGAGTCTGACTGTGCATAAAGGGGGCAGAACTCACTCAGAATTGGGTACATCAGCAGGACTTTCCTCCTGTAGATGTCTGGAGGGAACTTGGCGTAGTACACCTTGGCTCGCTGGGTCTCCTCGTCGCTCTGGATCAGGATCTTCCCGATGCGGATGGAGCGGCAGCAGTCCCGGAGGCCTTGCTCCATGGCCTCTCCTGCAGGGAGAGCACAGCCCAGCAGCACAGGGATACAGGTGAGAGGCCTTGCTCCATGGCCTCTCCTGCAGGGAGAGCACAGCCCAGCAGCACAGGGATACAGGTGAGAGGCCTTGCTCCATGGCCTCTCCTGCAGGGAGAGCACAGCCCAGCAGCACAGGGATACAGGTGAGAGGCCTTGCTCCATGGCCTCTCCTGCAGGGAGAGCACAGCCCAGCAGCACAGGGATACAGGTGAGAGGCCTTGCTCCATGGCCTCTCCTGCAGGGAGAGCACAGCCCAGCAGCACAGGGATACAGGTGAGAGGCCTTGCTCCATGGCCTCTCCTGCAGGGAGAGCACAGCCCAGCAGCA